GTCAGAAGGAGCAATAAAATCAGAAGGGGCCCTATAAGGGTGGAGATGAGGGTGGTGAGCCAGGGGGACCTTTTGAACCATCTTTTAAACTACCCCTGTTGTTTTTTAAAAAGTTTTTGTTTTTGTTTTAATCTTTTTTTTAATTTGGCCATGTTATCTCTTACCATCTCAGTATGATCCGCATAGAAGCAACATTTTTTTTAAGGGCAGTACATAACCCCCCTTCCTGCAGGAAGAGGAGGTCTAATCCCCTCCGGTTCTGCAGAACTACCTCAGACAGGGAGGTGAGTGACTTTTCCAAGGCACTCACGGATTCCTCCAGTGCCTGGATATCAGTATGCATGGCAACCTGGAGTTGTCTGAACTGGTTGGTTTCCATGAGGGCAGTGGTACCTGTGTCTATTTCGGTGGCGATTTCTCCCACAGTTAATTTACCTAGTATTAGGACCAGGGTTAGCGAGACTGGCTCTCTTTTTATACGGGGGACCCCTGTTTTATATCGAGCATAGATATCTTTAGGTGTATGGTAGACTATCCTGGGGTACAGTTTTATTAGTACACAATAATCGGCCATGTTAGCTAGTATTGAGGGAGAGAGGCATGGTGTAAGTCCAGTGCTACAGGCCCAGTAAGTTCCGCTGGGAGCCACGAGATAATGGGGTTCTGGAACAAGTACCTGGGTGCGATTACACAGGTGTTGATGGGTGTAGGGTACTGTCCCCAGACATAGTCCTTGTCCTGACACCTCGGAGATTGTGAGCTTATGCTGAGGTGTCGAGGCACATCCTGGTGGGGGTGAAGAAGAGTTGGTGAAGCTTCTGACTACGGCCACCCCCTCATAATAGGGAGGTGCGGAAACTAGGCATAACCAGCACTCCTGAGTCCGATTTGGGTTGGTAACATTGAGGGCTGAGTAAGCGCCCTCTATAAGATTTAATAGCCGGTCTCCCGTACCGGGTCTGGGTGGCTGGAGGGTGGCTGGGGTTACAGCGGCATTCGGAGCCGTGCTTGGGCGAATAGCGGGGAAAGAGGGACGCTTTTGGTCAGAGAGAACCTGGTTGGGACCTATAAAGGTGGAGAGCTCCGTGATTTTAAGCTTAATTGTAAACATAACTCCCTGGTTCCGTCTTATTATATAAAGTCTAAGTTTTTATGTTTTACCTTTAATCCAGTCTTGTGTGGTCTCCCTTCCCTTCTGAGTGAAAGATATATTTAGGGGGTTGCATGTAAAATTTATACAGGGACCCTCCCCCTTCCAGTAAGTCTTATCTCTTCCTGACGCGACAGTTCCCCAACAATGTTCTTGGGTAAGGGGACGCCATGAGTGGCTTTTTTTTTTGGGTAGTCCTTTTTACCCTAATGAGGTCCCAAGTGGATGAAGGCTTTTAATAGGTATTTTTAGTTGTTTTACATCTCCATGTTTTACAGAAGTAACTTTTATAACCCCCATATTGGCTAATTATTTTTTTGTCCCTACCATCCCGGGGGCAGACGTAGAAGGGTAGTTGTGACAGGGCTGCCCTGGCTTCAGGGTGACCACATCCGTATCTCTCGTCATTACATTTGCAAGTTTTTTTACCATCTTGACAGACGTCTGGTGCTCTGGGGTTCATGGGGTCAGTGGTAGGGATGTCCCAGTCCTCTGACCCTGCTGCTAATTGGCAGAGATCTGGATGCAAGTTAGGCCACCATGTAAAGGGGGTGTGAAGGGCGGTCGTTTGCCAGACCGTCTCCCCAGTTTGTGAGATGACCTGTCAGGTAATTTTTTTAACCAGGTGGGGGCTCTCTGGTGATGCCCCTCCTAATGTCAGGAGGAGGACTATTAGGGGGATCAAGGGGACCCCCGAGTGAGTCTTATCTTGAGTGGGTTCGAAGAGCGTTGAACTTTTTATGTTGATGTCTCGGTGTTCTCAGCTTCGTCGGGTTCCTTGGCAGCCTTCACATGTGACGCGTGGACCCAAGCCGCTATCCCGTCAACCTTGAGTGCGGTGGGAGTAGTTAACAGGACGGTGTAGGGTCCTTTCCACCTCGGCTCTAGGTTCTTGGATTGATGGCGTCGGACCCAGACAGAGTCCCCAATCTTGAATGGATGAGGCACCACCGGGCGATTCAGTTGCTCCCGGTAGGCATCCGCCAGGGGTTTCCACACCGTCTTTTGCACCAGCTGGAGGGCTTGGAGGTGTGCCTCTAGGGTAGGGCTAGTGGCAAAAGAGGAGATGTCAGGGTGAAGGAAATTTACAATTGGTGGGGGAGCCCCATACATAATCTCGAACGGGGTTAGGCCATGAGGCCCAGGAGTGTTCCGGGCTCGGTAAAGGGCTAGGGGGAGTAGGAGCACCCAATCTCTAGTGCCAGTTGCAAGCGTTAATTTGGTTAAAGTCTTCTTAATGGTTTTATTTGCACGTTTTACCTGTCCTGAGCTCTGGGGGCGGTATGCACAATGAAGTTTTTAATTAATTTCCAGTAGCCTGGCCACCTTCTGACTTACCTGGGAGACAAAGGCGGGCCCATTGTCTGACCCCAATATCTGGGGCATTTTATACCTGGGAAAAAATTTTTTTAGGAGCTTTTTGGTTACCACGTTAGCGGTTTTTTTTTTTGGTAGGGAAGATCTCCATCCACCCTGAAAATGTGTCTACAAAAATCAGAAGGTATTTATATCCATATAGTCCGGGTTTTACCTCGGTGAAGTCAAGTTCCCAATGGACTCCTGGGCGGTGACCTCGCAGGCGGCTCCCTCTGCTCAGATGGGCTTTTCCTGGATTAACTTGGGCACAGGCAGGGCAGCTGGAAGTCACCTGTTGGAGGACCTGTTCCTGATTCAATAATACAGTGCCCGAAGTCTCATCAGCCAGAAGGGCCCTCATCTTGTTTTTGCTCAGATGGGTTAACGCGTGGAGGAACTTGAGCATGTATTTGGTATGGGAGGTTGGCATAACTAATTTGTTATCCATTATATAAGCTTGTTGTTCGGGGCTCCATTTCGCCCCCATTTTTTTTGCTAGTTTTTGGTCCTCCGGGCTGTAAGACATGGGGTCTCTACTTGGCTGTTGGTCCTGCAAGACCAACAGCTGGTCGCCCCTTGGGGATTGTAAGGCGACTGTCCGGGCTGTTAGATCAGCCAGCCGATTTTCCCGTGCTATGACAGAGTCATCTTTTTGGTGTCCTGGACAATGTATGATGCTGAGCTGATGCGGGAGGAACAGTGTCTTTAAGAGGTCTAAAAATTTTTTTTTGTTTTTAATTTTTTTACCCTCTGAGGTCAAGAGGCCTCTTTTTTTGTAGATTTTTTTATGTACATGAGCAGTGGCAAAGGCATATCTGCTGTCGGTATAAACCATGAGTCTCTTACCTTCCGCCATCCGGAGGGCCTGGGTCAGGGCGATCAGCTCTGTACTTTGGGCCGATGTTCCAGGCGGCAGCGGTGAGGCCCAAACTACCTCTGATTCGGTGGTAACAGCTGCTCCGGCCCTCCGTTCTCCTTCTTGGTGGAAGCTGCTTCCATCCGTGAACCAGATAAAATCTGGGTTCGACAGCGGTTGATCTGTTAGGTCAGAGCGGGTGCCATGGACCTCCGCCAGAATCTGGAGGCAATCGTGCTCCTCGGATGGGTCTGGCAAGGGCAGCAGGGTTGCGGGGTTGAGGGAGACAACTGGTCCGAACACCACTCGGTCTGTGTCTAGCAACAGAGCCTGGTAGTGGGTCATCCTGGAATTTGAGAGCCACCTGTCTGGGGGCTGCCGGACCAGAGCTTCCACCGCATGAGAGGATAACACAGTTAATGGCTGTCTCAAAGTCAGTTTCCCTGCATCCTTGAGCAAAACAGCAATGGCGGCTACCATGCGCAGACAAGGGGGCCATCCTGCAGCTACCGAGTCTAATTTCTTGGATAGATAAGCTACAGGTCTCTTCCATGGCCCCAATCTCTGTACCAGTACTCCTTTTGCAAAGCCTGAGTTCTCGTCCACGAACAGTTCAAAAGGCTTGGTCAGATCTGGCAGGCCAAGGGCTGGTGACTCAAGTAAGGTGTTTTTAATTCGTTGAAAGGCCTGTTGCTGCTCTTCTCCCCAGTGGAACATGGTCCCAGGCTTGGTGAGAGGATACAGGGGGGTAGCTATCTCAGCAAAACCTGGGATCCAGAGGCGGCAGTAGCCGGCTGTACCTAGGAACTCCCGCACCTGGCGGGGGTTCCTTGGAGGGGGTATGGAGAGTATGGCCTCTTTCCGTGCTCTCGTGAGCCATCTCTGTCCTCTCTCTAGGGCATAACCCAGGTAAATGACTTTGCTTTGGCAAATCTGAGCCTTCTTAGCCGAAGCCCGATAGCCCTTCTGTCCCAGTTTAGCCAAAAGGGCCCGAGTGCCCCTCTGACATTCAGCCTGGGTTCTGGCTGCTAGGAGGAGGTCGTCCACATATTGGAGCAAGATTAAGGCCGGGTGTTTAACCCGGAATTTGGCTAAGTCTGAGTGTAAGGCTTCATTAAAGAGAGTCGGGCTGTTTTTAAACCCCTGGGGGAGCCGAGTCCAGGTCAACTGTCCTGAAAGTCCCATTTCTGGGTTTTTCCATTTAAAAGCGAACAGCAGTTGGCTCTGGGGGTGCAATCTCAAACAGAAGAAGGCATCCTTCAAGTCCAGTATCGTATACCAAACGTGGGTTGGCGGAAGAGTGCTGAGGAGGTTGTAAGGGTTTGGCACCGTGGGGTGTATATCTTCAACCCGTTTATTAACCTCCCTCAGGTCTTGAACCGGTCTATAATCCCCTGTCCCAGGTTTCTTTACAGGCAGGAGGGGGGTATTCCAAGGTGATCGACAGGGCACAAGTACTCCCTGGTCCAAAAGCCTCCGGATGTGCGGTTTAATGCCCTCGTGGGCTTCCCGGGACATAGGATACTGTTTGATTGAAACGGGAGTGGCGGAAGCTTTTAACTGAATAACAAGTGGGGGTTGGTCGCGAGCCAGCCCCAAG